GACATACATACATACACTACATACATACACATCGCACACACTTAAACATTGAGAATATATATATATATGAAACTGGATATATATATTGTACATCCACATCAGTCCCTAACCCGCAAGGGGAGTACAATCTAATGTCCTTAACTGACACATACTAGGGCCAATTTAGACAGAAGCCAATTCACCTACCAGCATGTCTTTGGAGTATTGGAGGAAACTGGAGTACCCAGAGGAAACCCACACAGGCACAGCACAGGGAGAACATGCAAACTCCAGGCAGGTGGTGCCGTGGTTGGGATTCTAACCAACGACATTAGTACTGCCAGGCAGAAATGCTAACCACTTAGCCACTGTTGTTGTAGATACAAAGACAAGTACTGTAACTGACCACAGCAACTTGATCACTAGCTACAGATAGCCATAAAATTACAGACCAAATGTAGCTGGTTCAGATCTTTGCTACTGAATATTATATTAGCCACAGCTTTTAAAACTATAAGGCTCCATGTACACGGGACATTTGAAAAATACTTCTGAACAATGGAAACTGACTGTTGGAAAACGTAGGTTAAAAAAAGTCTGTTTAGCCGTATTTGCATACCGCGTTTATGAGCGTTTGCGCTTAGTAGCGTTTTTTAAAGATAACCTCAGAAGACCTTCCAAAATGCCCAGAATGCACAGAAAGACAGTAATAAATTAACTATTTCAGACATTTTGAGAGAAATAGAGAGAACAGAAGCAGATAGAGCAGTATTTGCTGAGGTTAGCAGTCTTTTTGTCTTTTTTTTTTTGGTGGTGTTTGGATGTGTTCCAGCTCATTTCTGTGCAGAAATGATTGCAGCAGCATCTAACATATTTTCTTTCATGCGAAACCTCAAAGTATGGTGTACCAGGTACATTTGAGTACCAGGAAACCGCATTGCATGCATTTTTCATGATGAAAAAAGGCTCTGGACAGCATCTGGAAATGGAAGAATTAAAAAAATTTTCCAAATGCAAATGATTATAAATGCAGTTAGCCGCATTTGCAAGCGGTTGGTGTATGAAACGCTGATAAAATCTACTCCTGAACACAAGTTTGGAGTGTTAAAAAAAAACGTCTGTAAACTCAACTGCCTGTAAACGACATAGTGTACATGGACACATAGGAAAACATTAGGGAGAGTTCAGGGGCTGCTGAAAAAAAATGCAGAAAAGCTCCTAAACGCGAGTTTATCAACTGTAGTGTACATGGAGCCTAAGGTGTCATGCACACAGGACGTTAAAAAAAAAAAAAAAACCTCTCCTAGAAGTTGTCCTCCTAGCAGCAGCATTTTTGCAGAAAAACACCTGATGCTTGTTAAAGTATCTAATGCCTTTACAAGCATTTAGGTGTGTTTAGAAGCATCAAGCGCTTGGGAGTTAATTCATTTTATAGGCCAGATCATTTATTCTGGCCATTGAAATGAATTAACGCTCAAGTACTAAATGCGCCTAGCGTTTAGACACTTTTAGGCACGCTTAGCCACATCAAGCAGTTTTTTTTTGCCAAAAAGCTGCTGGTCCTGGGACAAACTGGCCCTGGGTTTTTTTTTCCTGCTGGTAAAAGCTACTGCTTCTAAAAGAGCTGTGAAAATGTGGAATAGACTCCCTCAAGAGTTGGTTCTGGCCAGCTCAGTGGATTGCTTTAAAAAAGGCCGGGATTCTTTCCTAGATACACAAAAGAAAACTGGATACTAACATTTATAGGTAAGGTTGATCCAGGGAATATCTGATTGTCTCTCGGGGGATCAGAAAGGAATTTTTTCCCCTGCAGGAGTAATTTGGATCATGCTTTGCTGGGTTTTTGCCTTCCTCTGGATCAACTGTGGGTATAGGATTATAACTTATTTTTTATATGGTTGAACCGGATGGACTTTTGTCTTTTTTTACACCAGACTATGTAACAATGTAAAAGTCTATGTGTGCATGGACACATAGGATAACATGGAGGACCTTTGGAAGCTTATAAAAAAAGAAAAAATGCCTGACGCCCCTAAAAAGTGGCTGCAAAAACGCCTTGTGTGCATGAGGCCTATAAATGAAGCTAGGAAATTATCAACAGTAAAAATAAATTCTGTACAAAGACTGTCACTTCGGAAAATGCTATTTCCTTGACAGTATTTGGATTCAATACTTTCACTGAGAAAATACAAGTAAGCAGCTAATGAAGCTGTATTCTGATTCTTGGTCAGTGACTTAAAGGGTATATTTCTAAGAAAAAAAAAAATAATGTGTGAATGTGCCAGCATTTGCACAAATGTCACAAATCCCAGTAATGTCCTTGTAATATGTGTAAAATGTCATATTTAATGGATTTGCTATAATTGCTTTATCTAGTTGCTATAAGGCAGTATTTTAAGAAAATACCTAAATTATTCCCACTTGATGGAGCTGATAGGAAATACACAGAAAATGACATTTCACATATATCACTAAAGTTACAAGGATTGTTGGAGACATTCACACAGGAAAATGTTTATATATAGGCCCCATAGTGTTGAAGCCCTCTTTGTCCTGCTGGAACTACCTAATTGTGCCCCTATTGCGACACAGACACTGTGTGGGGCTCAGTGCGCTACTCCGGTGGCTTGATGCCACCTTTCTTGCCCTTGCTCCCAATTATTAACAACCCTCTCTTCCCGCCGGGTTTATATCAACCAAGGGCGTTCTCATGGTGGGTGGCCAATGGTTTTTCGCAGACACTTTTTGACTTCTCGGTCCTTCCCCACCTGGAATTCTCTTCGGGAGTCACGGGATGTCCCTTGTTATCTTCAACTACAGCACTGGCTGACCTCGCTGCGGGGCACTTCCACTTTCCCGTATCAGAAATCTGCCATTGAAAAGCTTTGCCAACAGCGTCCAGGCGCCCCGGGCCTCATCTCCCTTCTTTATGCAGCTTTGAACAGACGCTCAATGCATACTTTTCTCTCATATGTTGCTCAGTGGGAGCGCAACTTGGGGGCGGTCGTGGATCTGGAGGACTGGAATAGGGCCTGGTCATTTATAGCTAAATGTTCATTTAATACAACCACGTTGGAGGCGGCTTACAAATTATTGTTTCATCAGTATTGGGTCCTGGCTCGTTTGGCCCAGGCGACCCCTGCCTGCAGCGATCGATGCTTTCGGGGTTGTGGTCATCGTGGAGATGCGTTGCATACATAGTGGTCATGTCCGAGACTGATTCATTTTTGGTCTTGTGTATTTGGCCTTCTTTTCACTTTGTTCCATCTCTCCATATGCCGGGATGCTCGGTACGCCTTGCTTCATTGTCCAATACTGGGTCTGTTGGCTCACCAGCAGACTTTAGCTTCAGATTTGTTTTTGTCGGCCACTAGAACAATTGCTCAGGCATGGAAGAGCCCGTCTGTCCCTCTTCAAGGGGTGAGGGACCGTATGACCACTCTGATGCTCAATGACAAGATGTCGAGTATCTGTAACAACTCCCAACTGAACTTTTTGAAAATATGGGAGCCGTGGTTGAGATATGCTTTTCCCACGCTCCCCCCGGCTAATCTGGGGTTGTGCTGTTGTTCGGTATTGGCGTTCCCGGACCCCTGCTCCTGGTCTTGTTTTTTTCTTCCTTTTCTACTCCTCTTTCCGGAGGATAGCTGCCTTTGAGCTACTGTCAGTGTTATATCACTGTTTTTGTAATCTATGTGCCATTGATAGCCCCTGCGTGGGTGCACATTTTGCTCTGTTGGTGTTAGAGCACTGTTTTCTTTACTTTTTATGTGCAATTGATAGTCCCTGCGTGGGTGAGTCTTGTTGCTCACATTTTCTTGAAATGTTTATAAATTAATAAAAATGATTGAAATACAAAGTGTTGAAGCCGTTGCAGTAAAATAAGTCAGCCAACCAATGTATTTCAAAAAGGAAAGCCAGTGGCAGTCAACATATTTTCTTAGTATGGTTTTACTTTAAAAAGTGTAAAAGCTGAAACAAACTAAAAACTGCTGTGTCTGGAAGCGATATTATGCCTATAAATGCAGAAACGTTATTCACATGCAGCCTATTGCAAAGTATAAAACCATAACACAATGATGGCAGTATCCCTCAAAACTAAAGGATGGGAAAATTGGGGATAGTGTCCCTCCAACCTTTGATTCTTATTGCTTGTTGTTACATGGTAGGTTTATAATTTCCATCAAAATGCAAAGTTCTATATGTCCTGGGAGGTTCCCAGTTAAATGTGCTGGGTACTAATGGTTACAAAGCTACTCTTAGATATCAAGTATTTTGTAATAGTCATTCATCCACTCACCAGAAACAAAATATCGACTATACTACTAACTAAAAAGAGTAGAAACATGAAATTCAAATTTTAGGGGACACCAAGAAAAGCCAATATATATTTGAGGGCAACTGACCAAATTTTCCTACCCAACATTAATGCGCTAGTAAATACCGCTTGCCAGTGCTGCCAATCTCCTGCAGTTTTTTTACTGGCAAAACATGGAAAATTTACTGATGCGGCACATTTTTTACTGACAACCTGAAAAATGACATTAAAAACTAAGACAATCAATATTTAAACAGTATAAAACACAGTATGGAAACACTGGCAATACCCAAAACAAGTAATCTGACTAGTTTACCTTTACAAAAGTAAAAACAGCATTACTAATTGTCAGCCCCTGATATTTACAGACAGTTTTAAAAATCACTAATTTCCGTACATTTACTGATGGTTGGCAGCCTGTCACTTGCTCACTTGTACTTACAGGCAAGCTTATAATAAAGCTTACTTGTAGATACAAGGAATATCTCCTCAACGTGTTCTGTGTTTAGGAGATATTCACTCCCACAAATCTGCGCTAAATTCTACTAAATAAAAGGACTTGTAGAAGTACATAAATGAAACATCTTAGAAATAAAATGGAGCCTAAAGTGTTCCTATAAAGTCTTGTGCTCATTAGAAATGGAAGAAAATGCTTGGCTGACAGATGAACTTATCAGTCATCATCACTTTTTTAGTTAATTACCATTTCTTGTAAAAGTTCGACGACTTGCTGAACACAGTCATTTACATCACATGAATCAGTTTTCAGTACCAGCTCTGGGGCCTCAGGCTTCTCATAATCAGAATCAATTCCAGTGAAACCTAAAAAGACAGAATTAAATATGCACAATGATAGTGAATTCCAAGGCTAAATATCAATACTATCTACACATGAGAAAGTTATGGGAGACATCTAATGAAAAATATAGGAGGGGTATGGGGGCTGCAATTTCTGACAATGCTGGCTACCCGAGACACTGTGGGTTGGGTCTATCACACTTCTACAGCAGGCACTGAGGCCCCGGGGCCAGTATGATAGCCATCATTTTCAGTAAAAAATCATCAATGACAGCCCCGATATTCTTGACAGCTTTACATTTTTTTATCATTGTAGTTCACAAAATGAAAGTGCATGTTCAAGAACATTGTTACACAATTGGCACTCCAGAGCCCATTCTATTCTCCCCAGCAAAGTATTTTTAGTATCAGGAGCTTCATCTAATAGAGTGGGTAGTGCGAGTTGGAGAGGGTGAGGTGAAACCACTACTTGCCTATACACTCTCTGTGGTGATAAACCTTCCTAAACATTTTGCTTCCAAGTGCTTCCTTTTCATTCTCCAACTCCCTCTGCCTGTACCCAACATCAGAATCAATTCAATTACACCAAAAGGGGGCTTAAAAAGTGTATCTGTGGCCAAAATGCAAACTTATGTTTTTCTTTTTGCATTTAATTTCAAATATTTCTAGCCTGCACCCAATAATTTGAAGGTTTAAAAATGGGCTTTTTAAAAGAATTTCAGATATAGACTTCCTTGTATTTTGTGACATATATACTATGCCCTGTGAGTAGGCAATGCTGTGTCACACATTTCGCAGAGCCTGCCTTCTGAAATACAGAGAAGTTGATAGGAGTTTTTTAGCAGACATGAATTCTGGGTATCAATATTTTAATACATAGTTACATTGGCCCAGCTTCGACAAATGTAACTATGCATATACCATATCTGGCCAATCCCCCTGAAAGCTGGAAATCACTGATGTAGACATCACTACTCCAGTAATCTCCACTTGTATCCATGCCCTGTACTGAGTGGCTGACCTGATGCATTCTGAACAAAAGGAGGCTGGAGGCCATTCAGAGAATGCCTTGCACCTTCTGAGTGAATGCAAAGCGTTCTCTGATTGGATACAGTGGAGGGCAGCATTCTCTGAATGGCACCCATTCTGATCAGACAACCTCCTTTGTGAATGCAGCAAGGCAGCCACTCAGTATCTGGAAGCAAGTGGAGATCTTTGCAAGTAGCAGTGTCTACTTCAGTGATTTCCAGCTTCCAGAGCCATCGCCATGTAAGGTATATACATTATTATTATTATACAGGATTTATATAGCTCCAACAGTTTGCTCAGCGCTTTACAATATATTATACATAGTTACATTAGTCCAAGCTGAACCAATGATAACATGTATAAAGTATCTACAACTAGGAATTCATCTTTAGTCAGAAACTACCGATTTACAGTGACTGTTAGAAAGGACCAGCTACATGAAACATTAATCCTTTTTTAAACCATTGCTAACATAATTCCAGCCTGCTGAACCACTTCTGCATTATTTTCTATGCTCCTTACAAAAAAAGTCTTGTCTAGTAGAAAGGTGGATGGTTTTTAGAACAATAAGACAATGTGTTATATATACATGGACAGCAATGCATATGTTTTCCAAAATAATCACAAATAAGAAAGCATCTACTTTATTTTGGTAATAGTAAGGGCACTTTCACATGAGTACGCTTTTACTTACAATAGAAGGTGCCTTTCTGGTGAGCTTTTTAAAAACTGAACAAAAGATGCAGCCTGCAAAACTTTTCAAAGTGCAGTACACCTGCAGTATGAACAGTTACATAAGATTTAAAAGTGGTTTTAAACCTCAGACATGAAATCTGAAAAAAAACACATATTTCTATAGTATTCACCTGCCTCTCTACAAAGCACTAAGTGTCATGTGGGGTATGGGACGCTTAGAGCTCTTGTGTAACTGCAGCTCCCTGCCCCCTGCTTTGTGAGTCTGTGAAAACTAATTTTCATCTTTGAGTTTTACAAGGATGTACAGGACAAATGGCTGCAAGAAAACAGGTACAACTTATGTAGGAGGATTTGTTTCATCTCTGTGTACCAATTAAGGCTAGTCACTTCGATGGGTATAGGTAAGGGTTTACAACCACTTTAATGGGGAATAGTATTCATGCGCTTCTGTCACCTGGAAAAGCATGTAAAAGGGGCCTAACAGAGCTCACCTGGAAAAGTGTGTAAAAGGGATCTAACAGAACAGCATAATGTGGCTTGCAGGAAATCAGGTGAAAAAAAAAAAACAAAAGAAAAAGTTTACCTTTGATTTCCCCGGCTCTTGCCATTTTATAAAGGCCTTTGACATCTCGCTGCTCACAAACATACAAAGGAGCATCCACAAACACTTCGTAAAATGGAAGGCTAGCTGCCTCGTGAATTTGCCGCGCATTGTTGCGATCCTATAAATGGAAGGAACAGTGTTAATATGAAAAGTAAAATTTTATTTTCTGCATCAAGTATTTCATAAGCGTTATAAAATCACTGGAAAACAATGATATATTAGTGGTTCAAGGATAATACACAGATGCAGCTAGGCACAAATACGTTGTAGCTGTGGCTCCAGGGTACCACAACAACAAGTTTATTTTACTCTGTGCAGTCATACACTTATATACAAATATACAGCCCAATATATATGAATATCCCTGCCCACATTTTTCCATATGTAGCAAGTACCCTGGACTATCTTTCTCCATCCAGCAAGACCAAATAATTGGCATTTTTCTTTGCACAACCTCTATGCCGATAAAGAAGTCTGTCAAGCGAAGGCCGGCCATACATGGATCGAAATTTGGCCAGTTCAGCAGAGACCATTCAAGATTTGATCCATGTATGGGCAGGCTCATTGTACCCATCGAAAGCCTTGGTTACAACCAGCCTGTTGAATTTTTTACATATGATTACTGCTGGCAGCTATAGCCACTAGCAGTAATCATTGTGAACTGCTGGCCAAGAAGGCTCTCTGTTCTCCCCTGCTGGCAAAACACAATAACACTGCACAAGGCATTCCCTCATCAACACCGACTCTGCTGATGGGGGAAATTAGCAAATCTCCTTCCTTCCAGCCGTGGTGGAAGGAAAGAAATTCGAATCATCTGTGTCCTGCCTAAGTGATGGTTGAGCTTGTACTATCCAATTTCTTGCAATGAGCTTTCTTGCCACAAACAATGCATTAAAAGCCTCAGCAGCATAATGGTCAAGAGTGCCTATATAAAAATACCCCAAAATACAAGTAAAAGGGTTGCATTCTAACTTTACATGCATGAAAAGTCTGATTAATATATTGAATAACTGCCAATCCCGCATCATTTTAGGGCACTTCCAAAAGTAGATGAAGAATCCTCCCAAAAATTCATTGCATATAAAGATTCAGGCATTCTATAAAATATATGCAGTATAAATATTTGTGTCAACGGTAAAAAGACACTTCCAATAATGAATTTAGAACCACATCCCATTGCACATCTGAAATAGTGTCCAAATCTTTTCCCCCAAAGTATATATTGAAGAGGGCATATGGGTTAAATATGGGTATATAAATAAGAGATCATCTGCTTAGTAGACATGGCCTTTGTGTAACAAAATCAATTAACACCATTGGTGCCATACCTATATCCAAAGTAAGATTTCAGGTTTGCAATGTGTGCCAGATTTTCAAATATTTAAAAAAAAAAATAAAATTACTCAATGGTATTCTGAAGTTAATTATTGAAACGATTTAAGGATACCTTGGGAGTATAACTGTGCTACTGTTGCAATGCTAACTTCCTTCCACTTCAGAAAGAGAAGAAGCGTGCTTTTTAGAAGATACTCATTGGACCATAATAGAGTATATTTAGTAAGACTTTTTAGTTCCAGTAAATGCTTTACAGCATTCCACGCTGGCCTAATTAAATGGATTAAGAAGCTTACAGGCGATTTAGATACCCCCTTGTCTTCAGTGTGTACAACTGTCTATGCTCTGCAAAGAGATATTATAACATTTTGCACGTGGAACAGCTATTCTGCTCCCCTCCCCATCCTGCAAAATGCTGAAATTGTGGGGCACTGAAATATACCCAGGGAGAAGGAATCAAAAGGCCTCTCCTCTCATTACTGGCTACTTTCTTCTTCCATATTAAACATCTAAATAATCCTTTAAATTTCCTGAAAACACCCAACAGAAACCAAAAAGAATTATTAAAAAAAATAAAAGCAACTGTGGCATCCATGTCAACTTTAACAAGTTTCTTCTAACTGCTACCAACAGGGGATATTTGTACCAAATATTACACTTGTTTTTAAAGGGTTTCAAAGCGGTATTAATTTTAATGGGATCAGCCATAACTCTATGACCACTTACAGGTACGTGAATAACACTGATTTTCTTGTTACAATGGCATCTGAAAGTCAGTGGGATATACTAGGCAGCAAGTAAACATGTTGTTCCTGAAATTGATGTGTTGAAAGCAAAACAAATGGGCATTGCAGTTTGTCGTGTATGGGGCTTACATGCTGGCAGACCAGTCAGGGTGCCCATGCTGATTCATGTCCATAGCCAAAGTACCTACAATGGGTGCATGAGCACCAGAACAAACCACAACGCAATGGAGAAGGTGGCCTGGTCTGATGAATCACATTTTCTTTCACATTGTGTGATGGCCGAGAGTATGTGCATCTCTTAACTGGAGATGGCACCAGGATGCAATATGAGAATAAAGCAAGCCAGCGGAGACAACGTGATGCTTTGGGTAATGTTCTGCTGCGAAACCTTGGTCCTGCCATCCATGTTAATGTTACTTGACATGTTACTTGACATTGTTGCTGATCAAGTAACCCGTTCATGGAAACAGTATTCCATAATTGCAGTGGACTCTTTCAGCAGAATGATGAGCCCTGTTACACTGCAAAAACGATTCAATGGTTTGAAGAACACAACAATGAGTTATGAGGTGTTGTCTTGGCTTCCATATTCTCTAGAACTCAATCCAATCGATCATCTGTGGTATGTGCTGACAATACAAGTCTGATCTATGGAGACCCCACTTCCCACCTTACAGGACTTAAAGAATCTGCTACTGGTGGCTTAGTGCCAGATACCACACCATACCTTCAAAGGTCTAGTAGTGTCCATGCCGCGACAGGTTGACTAATCTGGCAGCAAAGGGGGGACCTACTCAATATTAGGTGGGTAGTTATAAAAAGGTATGGCTGATCGCTATAGTCCTAGGTTTTTTACATTAATGTATTCTCTGCTTTAAGGTAAAAAAAAAAAACTTCCATGATTAGCTCCCTCTAGCCCCCCTTCCCCTCAAATACTTACCTACAGGGCTTTCTTTCTGCCGGAACGCGGCGGTACTGCGTTCCGCCACCTTTTTCTTCTTGTCCCCGCTCACCGACTGCCTCTGCAGAGCTGACAAGCTATGCAGAGCAGCGAAAGTGACAGGTGCCGGACGCGGCTTGTTTATGTCATGCTTGCGCGTGCCCGGCACCTGTCACTGCCGCTGCTCACAGCCGGTGAGCGGGGACATGCACGCTTCACCCCCCCCCCCTCTACCGCCAGCGTGTAAACATCGGGGGGGCGCGGACGATGGGCGAGGACACTATGCACGCTTCACCGCCCCCCCCCGCCGGCGTGTAAACATCGGGGGCGGCGCGGCGACATCAACGGCAGTGACAGCGTGGACGCAGGGGCCGTACAGCTTGGAGTAGGTAAGCTGCGCTCGGCTCCCTGTCACTGACTGCAGTATCATGTATTGCTCTAAATTTTTACTCTCTCCCCAGCCTGTGCCCACCTAAACTATCCCAACCACCTGTGCCCACCTAAACTATCTGAGCCCACCTAAACTATCCTCACCCACCTGAGCCCACCTAAACTATTTCAGAACGCAATTGCTCAGCGCTCAGCGGCGCCGATCGAGAGCGCCCCTCCTGTGCATGAGGAACAGGAAAGATAAATTCAGTGATGGACGGTATTTTTTGGAGGAAAAGGTGGCAACCCTAGGGGAGCCTGTAGGAGCAGGCACATCTACCAGACAGGGTACACATGCATGCTAGACTGATTTTATATCTATGCTGGACGTTTACAAACGGCCTGCCATGATTTTATATCTATGCATGTGTTCCTGGTGTCAGTACGGTACTGATTTTATATCTATGCGTGTGTTTCTGGTGTCAGTACGGTACTGATTTTATATCTATGCATGTGTTTCTGGTGTCAGTACGGTACTGATTTTATATCTATGCGTGTGTTTCTGGTGTCAGTACGGTACTGATTTTATATCTATGCATGTGTTTCTGGTGTCAGTACATTAGTCATTTTATATCTATGCATGTGTTTCTGGTGTCAGTACGGTACTGATTTTATATCTATGCGTGTGTTTCTGGTGTCAGTACGGTATTCATTTTATATCTATGCATGTGTTTCTGGTGTCAGTACATTAGTCATTTTATATCTATGCATGTGTTTCTGGTGTCAGTACATTAGTCATTTTTATATCTATGCATGTGTTTCATGCAGATCATGCAAGAGGCAGCCGGGGGTCCGATGAAATCATTTCCCTTATATGGTATGTACGGGAAATGATGTCATCGGAAGCCCCTCCCAAATTTTACTTGCATTCCTGTTCTCTAAAGGGGTGGTCCTAGGGTTTGATGGGGGCGTGGCCAGGTTTGGGTGGGGGAGTTCCACCACCTTTCCTCTGAGAAAAAAAGCCCTGCTTACCTAGCACCTCTTTCGATCCAGCACTGCGCCTTTCTATAGAAGAGCTGCTCCCTTCCTGTATTCACAGGACATAAAGGCAGCAGCTGTCAAATAACCTTGAGGAGGGGCGGGGCCAAGCTGAACTGTGTTTGTCTATGGAAGCACAAGGCTCGGCTTTGGAGCATGTCCGAACAAGTGCCTCACAGCACACTCTTTCTCATGAGGGCATTCGGAGAAGAAGAGGAGCGGAAACCCCAAAAGAGAAGGCAACATGTTTAATATTTCAAGTACAAAATAATAAAAAAAATGAGCCTTTACAATCACTTTAATACACTTAGTAATATGCACAGATATGTAAATTCTGAAACAACTAAAAACAGAGACATATGGCCATACAACTCACCCAACAAGGGATCCATAGAGAGATCCCTTTTACAGATGTTTCCCAATTAATATTGTGGGAACTCGCTTCTAAATGGTAGAGCTTCTTCTTTTAAAACACACAGCAACTCGCTTCGTTAAGGGCCTTTTTGCCCAATTTTATTAAAAAGAAAAAGTTCAAGAAACACAAATGCTTCCCACGCAGGGGTATCCACCATCAAGCAAAACAATTCAGCCTTCTGGCTCTTTCAGCTATACCGCTCTATATCTGTTTCCTACAGACTTCTTCCACAGGGTTGTTTTAGCACACAGCTATTCTCAAACAGCTCCTTGCTG